TTTTTAAAGAACTTGTTTTTAGCTTTTCTCCTTCTCAGTTCCTTGTGTTCCACTTTTTAAACAGTGCTATGCATTTGAGTACATATGGCTGAATTATATCTCTTATAGTACAAGTCAGAGACCATCGGTAGGATAATACGGCAACCCTGTCCTGCTAGACAGGGCGATATACTTTTTTTTGCCCTGCCCTGTTACAGGGCAGACAATAAAAAGTTTCTTGATTTGCTCTGTGAAGGTTGATTTTTGAAATTTTCAAACTTTTCTTTGGTTCATATCTTTCTTTCTGTTATGTGTTTGTTGATATATGTGTGTGCTCTTTATGTCTCGTATAAATATGTGAACATATTTGGGGGCGAAAAAATTTGCCCTGGGATGGTCTCTGGTACAAGTGTTGCCATTGGCAATACTGGAAGTGATTGTTCTGCAAACCACGCTCGACATTAGTATTTGCCCAATTTCGTTGCGAGTCATTTTTCCCATTTTATTTTATTCAACTTTCTATACAATTCTGCTTTAATGAGAATTTCATTTAAAAAAGATGTAAGTAATAACTTAACGTGTACACGACTAGTGGGAAGTCTCTTCAAACTTTTTCTCTGTTTTCGTTTTTCCTCGACTACCTTATTATATGAGTCTTCAAATGCAGTAATAACAAAAGTCTAACCCAATGCGTTATTCATTGATGAGAAGAGAGCATGTTGTTTACTTTCTTAAATTCTTATATGGTTTTTGTACGTTATGTTTCTGCTATTTGATGATGTAGTGATTCATCTGTAGTTCTTCGTCACTACTTCCTTCATTCATGTGTCTATTATCCGTTATTTTATGCTAAAACAAAAGCATGTGGCTAGTATTCTGTGTTATTCTGTATTATATGAAAAAAATCAGTTTTAAACACCCGAAGAAAGTTCTTAATAAACATCTATATATTATATAGCGCTTAATTTATCTAGTTGTGCTCAAAATGAAAAAAAATCTCGCCACCGAAGGCAAAAAACTTCTTTCAACGTTTCTGGGCTGCTGCTGACTTATTTTAACACTGGTTCAAGCCTTATAAATTGCCCATAGCAACACCGGGATAGATGGCGTTAATTTCATTCGTTCTAAATCGATTCTCTTTCTCTTTTGTTTCTTTTAAATAGTTTTCAATATTTTCTGGACCAATCAAAAACTTTTCTTTTATTTCGAATGCACGCATCCGATCGAGATTTCCGTTTCTTCGTTAGAACGAGCACTTATAATGTATATGTATTATAGAATAGATAGTTGATCATCTAGTTTTGTTGTTTATTTACACATACTCTGTACTTTATAAGCTTCTGTTAGGTTGATTTTATTTTTCAGATATTTTCTTCGTTTTCATCGTTTCTCCTTTTTATAAAATGGAAACGGAAAGTATCTTGCCGTTACCTCGAACTCATATCATCGGTAGTACTCAGCGTGTTCTCGTTGGTTGGATAACTGATTTAAACGGTAAATAAGTCTCTTTCTAGCAAATCATAAGTCTTTTTATCTAATTTTCTTTCTTTCTCTGATAGATTTTTACTTACATCCAGAACTTTTTCGTGAAAAATTAACCTCTCTCGATGAAGAACTTTTATTGACATATAACCAATCGCAAAAGTAAGCTTTTTCAAAAAGTGACAAACAAGTTGTATCTTTTTTCTGCATCTTTCTTCTTTAGACCGGAAGATAATACTCCATTAACAGTCGGTGATTATTGTGCTTGTCCTTCAGAAGATGAAAGTTGGTACCGAGGAGAAATATGTCAAATAGAACCGAACAATTTAGCAACTGTATTTTTTATTGATTACGGAAACATTCAACGTATACAAATCACCTATCTGCGAAAACTTCAGGTAGAAGAAACATATAAGATCGTTTATATAAGCGTTTCTCATTTCACACGAGAGGTTATGTTATTCTACAATGAATATTAATTAATGATTTTCATTTTTATCTTTAGAAAAAATTTTATGGATTACATCGTTTAGCGTTTCGTTGTTCGTTATCCAATTTAACAAAACCAATCGATGGTATTTAATTTCTGCTCTTTCATTATCACAAAGCTCACTTCTAATTTTCATCTCTAGGATGGCCACCAAATATAGTTAATGAATTCCGTGATCGTTTGAACACAACATTTTTGTTTTGTAAAGTCGTTTCTTATAACGAAGTACGCGATATATTCGAAGTCGAACTCTGTGAAAAGGGAGCTACAAAACCGATAAACAAAGATTTTGGTATGTCGTACAGTTTTTGTTGGAAGAGAGACTCGAGTCAAAAGCTTCAAGATTTTTTTTTGTGGCAGCTGGTGTGCAAAAATAAAACAGGACGGCTAGCGCTTCGGCAGATGAAACTTTTGCAATGCAGAAAATGAAGACCTCAGAGAAAAGAAATAAGATTGTAACTCGAGAATTATATATTAGAGCAATTTCTGTTCAAGTAGATACTCCAACCAAATAAAACCTGTTTTTTTCTTCCTTTTAGAGCAATTTCAGATGTTTCATCAAAAGCAACAACAACAAGATGACAGACAAAAATCACAGCTACAAGCTCGTGTAGGGTCATCTTTCTGTAATACGATGCCAATACATAAATGTAAGTAAAGAAAAAACAGAAAACAAATAGGCACGTTAATGGTGCTGTGTCTGACCACGTTCACAGTTGAAGAGTCAGTCACAGCTGGTTTCTTTCGCTATACAAAAGTTTCTTCTTTATTTTTTTCTAGTTATACCTATGGATATTTTGGATAAAACGTATCTACACCAAGTTCATATTTTATATTATATAAATCCGTGTCAGTTTTATGTTTACTTGCCTCTAAAAGTACACGAATACGCAGAAGTATGTGTGTAAGAGGTAAAGACTGAATATGACAACATTTTTTGCTTTTTCTTTTCATCATTTCAGTTTCAAATTAAATTGCAAGAGGTAATGAAAAATTTACAAGAAAGTTTTCCGCAAACCAGTCATGTAGCAATTAATCAATTATATCAACCAGTTGTAGCTCAGGATAATCATAGAATTTGGCATCGTGCAATTGTTATAGGTCAGCACTTCATTAACTTGTTTCATGACACAGCGCAGTTCATTGGTAGAAAGCTTTTTGGAAGAGAGTTCCTTTCTTATTGAGAAATAAGTTCTCACCCAGGTTCTCGGCATGGACCCAGAAAGATCACGCTACCTTGGGATAAGAGTAAATGTTTATATTTGTTCTTGATGTAACGATTTTTTTTCTCAATGTAGATGCAGAAACAAGTCCGACTGACATCTGTATTTATTTTGTTGATGTTGGACAACAACAGTATGTCTCACGTGAAAATATCAGACCGTTACCAAATGATCTTTCTCAACAACCTGCATTTGCTATACCTTGTCGTTTATTTGATATTTGCCCTTTGAATGGAACAGACAGATCGCAATGGTCACTGGATGATCCATTACACGAAGAATTTAATCAGTTAATGTCACATTCTGCCAATGCTAAAATTAGAACTGTTCAAGATAAAATCTGTTATGAAATTGATATTGAAATACCAAGTAAGTAAAAGATTTATTTGCACACAGTAACTCCAGTATTCTACAAAGTGTTGAGTATTTCCGATTAAAAGGAGGAAAAATCCTCCGGAGCTTTAATAATATCTGTCAAACTTCCCAAACGCTCCACCATTTTAAGCACCAAATAAAGTTTTGTAATAGGTAAAACAGAATAATATCTCTAGGCAGCTGATTATGGGTTTGTTAACAAAAACAGCCGACAATCAGAACAATCCTGAATACCAAGCAGAATGATAATGTGTGTATATTGCGCACATTTTTGTTCCTAAACAAATAGCACATGAGAAGGTTTTCTGTATTACAACGTTGTTGGTCGTAGATGTAGTCATCGGAATTTCTTTTGGATAAGCAAAAAATAGTTGTTTGAACAATGCAGAGAGTGAAATATACATTGAAATATACATACATGAAATATACAAGCTTCAAGGCTGAAGTTGCTATTAGCATCAGAAACTATTTGTTTGGTCGTTTAGGATTTTATAAAATATTCAGATCGTGCTGAGGAACGAAATACATCCCTTGTTTGTTCGTATGCACATTTAAATCCACAAATTCTTTCCGTGTTGTATTAAATACACTAAAGAAAAACTGTTCATTCTTCTCTCTTTGTCTAAGAAGTGAACAATAAATGAACAACTGTGTCTTCCTTGTAAATACGTTCATTTTAACGATCTTCAATTTTGTTTTTGTTCGAAAAAGAAGATTCGTTTTGCCATGATAGATGTGGATATGAAATAAGAAAATATGTATGTCATCAGATGTCGCATTTTTTCCGTTTATTATATCTGGTTTTTTAAATTAAAGTATGAAGTTCAATCCATTTTCTTTATTTTCTCTGCCCCAACAGATCTCATATGATAATATATCTGCCTATTATCTTCTAGTTAAAGGGCGAGAATCTTATAATCGACGCGAAACATTATTCAAAACTAAACTACTAACATAAAAGAGATACTATGTCGCAAAAAACTGCAGTACCTTACAATATTTCTTCATCTTTTAACCCAGTTATGAAAGCTAATGGAAGTCTAAATAAAACGACATGGAGCCTGAAAGTTTTTCTTATAAGATTTCAGATGTGATTGTAAGTAAATTGCATCGCTGTTTAGTCGCTCTCGATTTCTTCGACAATTACAATCGCTTAGACGGCACTAGACAACGCAATTGTTTAAAAGCTGATCAGATAGATATAAAGCATATTCTTTTTCATTCGTTTGGAATCCCTTTATTTTTATTTTGATTCCTTGTAGATTCATCACTTTTGGAGTTTATCTCTGGGAAAAAGTTTTTACCATAACTTAGAATAATTTTAGTAAAGATAATATAGTCTGTCAGTTAATAACACTAACTAACCTGTAGTTCCTAAGTAAGTAAGTATAATGGAAGGGAATCACATTTATATAAGATATTTCTAGCAAATCAAGCTTCGATGCACAGATAGTTATGCCATTAGTGACGATGATCTGTATTTTCTCTTATTGAATATTTTATGTATAATGCTAAGATCGATCTTTAAGACTGTAAATATTATTTTATCTATTTTAAATTTTATTTAAAAATCAGCTATGTTTACTTTTATAATATATGTTGAAAAAACTTTTTTTTACCATGTATCGAGCACACGCAACAATCTGTAGCATAAAATCTAATTAAAACGGACTAGTCTGTTATTTCGATATAACCTCTTTCTTTTCTCACTGATATACAAAAATGTGCTTGGCCATATGACTTTTTCTTCATCTTCATTCTGGACATTCGAGGAAGAATACAACTTGCAATTGTATTCGCAGAAGAAATTCATTTTATAGCGCTTTTTGCTGAACAGCTAGGGAAAAATTCAGCCCTTTTTCTGTATTAAAGTCTTTCTACCAAATCTTTTGGCTATACAATCATTGTTGTCGATTAACGGAGGGTTTGCTTTTTAGACTAGGATACAGCTAAATATCGAGAGCGATGAAGAACAGTATAAGGGTCTGGAAAATCTATAATATCAGTAGAGCTGATTGATACAGTGTGTGTTTTTTCCAGTGTTTCTTTCCTTTCGTATCGCTTGGATCAAAGTAAAAGCACGTGTCGGTGAGGGACAAAAAAGTAAAGAAAAACGGGAAAGGAATCAATGTTTTATCTCAACCATCTCTGATCATCTATGCTGGTGACGATAAACTTCTATTAAAATAACACTTCGAGTATTGAAGGAATGCTGTTAATTTTCACCCGTTTCTGAAATATATCGCTCGTTAGCGAACTGAACTGCGTACTTTGCTGTGATGATGTTGAATGTGATATTGTCGCTCGCTCTAATTGCTATTTTGTCGCTTGCACAAATCTTAAATAGATCAGCGATTTTTGCGTTTCCCTTTTTCATTAACATACGAATGTCTGATGTGATCACCTTGTATCTTTAGAGATTTTCGAACATGAAATTTTACGACTTTTTTTAATACCCATTTTTATATTATTCCTTTGTATAGTTGGCATTTGAACACTTATATTAATTTATATTTAAACCGTCTGTTTTTTTTAATAATTGGCATGTATTTCTTATTTGTTTTCTAGAATTAGGAGATCTAGCCACGTATCTCGTTGCTAAAAATTTAGCCTCCAGAATATCCATGCGTTCACAGCAACAATCATCATTTGCTGGTACTGGTCTTAGTTCACAAACAGTTTCCAGTATTCAACAACAACTACCACCAGCAACATCATATTTTTCTCGTACATTATCGCAAACTTTTGATCAATCACGTCAAACACAGCAGCAACCGCCACCGCAATCGTCACAGCAGCGAAACATCGAAGTAGCGCATCAGCAAGACCGATGGCCACAACAACAGATGCAAAATTTTAATATGTACGTAGCGTGCATTGAGAAAAGACAAAAAAGTTTTACATTTGAGCTTGATTTATAGGTCACAGAGCATATCTCAGATACGTACTTGTGCAGCAGGTAATAATTTTGAGTGCACTCACTACATTTCTCAACTATGAGTAGACCGTTTTTTTTCTCTAGAAAATGGTTTTTATATCGTGACATACGTTTTCAGTGCAATTGAATTTTATGCTTGTTCCGAACGCCGATCAAAAGAATTAGAAGCATTCTCTTTTGAATTGGAACAAATTTACAATAGTCAGAATGTGGATTTCTCATTAAACATGTCATTATATTTGGAAGGTACAGTGTGTGCTATTCAACATGGTAGTCATTTCGAACGTGTTGTTATCAAGTAAGCGTTATCACTTTAAAATGGATTTTATTTTTTCTAACAGCGCATTCGTATATTCTTAGACGTCGTGAAGGTGAATCACGTGTACTTGTTCAATGTTTCGATCGTGGCGAAGAACTTGTTGTTGATACATCAGAGTTATTAGCAATTGCAGAACCATATTCTAGTGTACCACAATTTGCACAACCATTTCGATTACGCGGTTATGATGAATCAGTATGTAATGTTCATTTCTTCGAATGTATACAGAGGAAGTAGTATAGGAAAATAGATACCTGTAATGAAAATACAAACGGAAAAAAGCGGTATTAATATCGAACAGTGAAATTTTCGCAATCAGTTAAACTAGAGATAGGTGGACATGTAACATGTTGGTTTTCTTTGTTTTAGAAAGTAAATGTAAATCTGACGAGAAAATTGAAAAAAATGATATTAAATCAACGTGTAAATATCGTTAAATATCCACCGATGATAAACAATTTTTATCCAGTGGAAGTTACATTGCAAGATTCCCAATCAGTGAATCAGTTGTTGTTATCAAGCGATCCACTTGTTAGTTTAACCGTACTTTTTTCATTTATGAGAGACAGCTTCATTCTTCTTTTTTTAGCCTTCGCCCAGAATACCAATGCAGCCGGGTGTACAGCAACAACAAAGTACAGAGTACGTATTCAAGTATTCAAATACGTTTTGAACTAGTACCTTTATTCAAGGTATTCCGAATAGTTATGACCTTTTACCACCAAATGCGACAGTACCTGTGTTAGGTAATCCACAGAATTATACAGGGCATGAATTTTCAAATGAGGAACAACTAGAGAGAATTGTAGATGTAATAGCATCACCATCATCATGTGATGAATATTATGAACGGACTGCAAAATGGAGTGATGATCATTACCAGCCGTACCATTGGCAGCGTCAGCAACAACAACAAGCTGATAGTTGGTTATTATTAGTTCCGCTGATACTACCATAACAACTAGTATTAGCGAGTTAGCGAGGTATTTTCTGTTGTTGTTGATATTGCTAATATAGGTTTCATTCATGAGAGAAAAGTCACATAATACTTCTGCTGTTTTTTTGCAGTATTTAGAAGCGCACTGGTTTATATCTTCAAAATATATTAAATTTCCTCATTCTTGTTGTCATTCAGATATCAACAACGAAATTCATTTATGTCTACATCACGAATTCAATCAGGATCACAATTTGTGAATAAAGGTTCGTTTAACCACTGTGTCGACATGTTTTTATGAGTGAAATGTACAAAACATTAGTGAGTGAACTAAGCTTGAATGGTATTGTAGAATTAGCTTGATCAGTTTCACTTCTTTTTCTATTTCTGTAACGAAATGTGCTACTGTTCTATTTCTGCGTATTAGTTGGTGACACGACAGATGAGCCTCCCAATATTGGAGCTCTCGAACAATAGAGTTTCGGACATTGGAGTCTAACGAAAAGAACAATAAAAAAATGATATAATGTAAATATAGTTCAATGCACATAAATAGATTAAAAGTTAAATAGAGCTCTTGCTCTTTTAAAATATTCATTTCTTGGGTTTAGATTAAAAGCAGTAATTGATTGTTGTAGTTGTTCATCCAGTTGTTCATATACAATCGACATTTTTAAAGGTAAAAAGTGTAGTGAATTGAATAGTGAGCTCCTTTCTGAGATTCATACATATATTTAACTCATTCTTGTAACAGTTTGAAAGCTAAATTAAATTTTAATCAAGTATTATTTAGAAGTATTAGTACAAAAGAAAACTTTATCAGTTTATATATAAGTATATATCGCATTTTGACAAACAGTTTTTGTATCATCATTAAGAAATAGTATTTCATTTATTATATCAAATTATGACTTATATTATAAGAATATCACCTACTGTTTCCATGTCAGTATACTGCTAATCGTATCATTCTATATCGAATTTTTTTAAGGAGCCCAAATGTCGAGTGCCTCATCTGTCGGTGTATCATGTTAGTTAAATGAGTTTACTTGTCTTCGTTTGTTTAAAGCACACTATCATTACCGTTGTCTGCACTTCATAGTATTTTCTCTATCAATCAATTATTTATTCGAATCTTTTTTTGTGACAGAAACTGCACAACAACCTGGTATAAATCGTGAAAATGATAATTCTACACCTATGTCAACTACAGGACAACGTCAATTAGGTAAATATAAATGTCTCAGCCATACACTTTGATACTCTTTTATAATAACAGATGTTTTTTGTCTGTCCTAGGGCGCTTTAATGCTGGACCAACGAGTCGTAATGAGCAAAATCAAGTACAAACACAGCAGTCTATAAAATTAGATGAATTAAATTGTCTTCCACAACAACTGAACAGTGCACAACAAAAACCACCACATTGGTCAATAACACGTGATAAGAGTAATAATCCATCTACAATACCTTCGGCAGTCTCTACACAAACGTTTCAAAATCGTACAGTCTATAATCAGCATGATGCTGGGCAACAATCAGCGTTATTCTCGAATGCTAGAAATCAAGTTAATAATGTAATATCAACAAAAACAAATGAAGATGAGAAATGGGATGTTGATACCAGAACATCCCGTTCTGGCTTACGTAATGAGACAACAACGCAGAGAGACGGCGGTCAATCGGGATTTAAAAATAGTTTTAATAGTAGAAATAATAATGATGAAAGACAGCATGAATCAGGTAGAGGAAGTTTTGGCAATCGTGGTGGTTTTGATCGGGGTACGTGAGCTAGCAGAGTTTTTAATACTATTACAGAACTAGTATCTGCAATTTACTCTTGAACAGGTGATCGGGGACAAAGTGGATTTAATGATCGTAGTAGCCGCGGAGGATTCCAAAATCGATATAATCGTGATGGCGATGGCAATGAGGGTGAATCAACAAGTGTCGATACCTATCGTGGAAGTCGAGGAAGACTTAACAGTAGCGATCGAGGAAATCGTGGAAGTTACAATAGCTCTCGGTCGTGGAATGATGACAGTGGAAATAAAGAAGCCGATGGTGGTATGTTTTCATTGAGAAAAGTTGTTGTTAAGTCCTAATACGATATTTTTCTCTGCTAGAAATAGAAAGTATAATACAAGATATTAGTACACGATAAGTTTAAGACGACTTACAGATCCAATTAGCTTCATCATTTTTTAAAATTAATATTGTTGATAACTTTTCAAAATTTTTTATAGGAGACGAAGGTGGAAATAATCGTCATGGTGGATTTACTAGTAGAGGTCGTCAAAATTCTTTTGAGAGTCGAAGTCGAGGCAGTGGAGATAATGAAAGTATGATATCAATCTTTTCATATACCATCATCGTTAAGTTAATTATTTCGTTTGAAGGTGAATTCACTGGCATTGGATTTCGTAATACTCGCGGCTTTAACAATGGTGATCGAGGATATCGTGGAGGTAATTGTTTGTTTTTCGAAACTGCCTTAATTGAATAAATTTTTTATCTATGTAAAAGAAAGTGAACTCTCATATTTTGTTTTATTTCTTCGTTTAAATGATAGAAAAATTTGCAGTGCAAATAATTTCAATTCGTTTTATCAATCTTTTTTTCTTATGCAGCATCGTACCACTGTTGTTTTGTTTGCTTATCCAAACTACGTCTTATAGATATTTTGTGATGAGCTCAATTTTCGTAAGACGAAAAAGTAAAAATTTGAGCCCAAATTGTGTCTGCTGCAGGAAGAGAAATCTTTCTTCATTTCACTTTTTAACAATCTGCACTTGATTAATAATAACTTCATCCTATGATTATTTTAAGGACGTGGTAGCTACGAAAATCGTGAAGGTCGTGGTGGTTTTTCTGATCGAGGAAATTTTGGAGGTAATTAATTGGTTTCTACGCAGTTACTATTTTGAAATTTGTATAGAATGCATTTTCCATCTTTTTATTCTTTGCTTTGAGATAAATGAGTCTACGTACCCTGAACAAATATTCTGTCAGAAGATGAATTTTTTGAATCCAAAATAGTCGCAGTTCAAAATTATTTTTTGTTTTGCGCATAATCGATTTCATATTGAATCTAATGTCGTATGATGTTATGCTTCTAGGTCGTGGCAGTCGTGATTTTGAGCGTCGAGGACGTGGCGGTGGTGGAAATACTTGGCAAAATCAGAAAGACGGTGAGGGAGGACAAACAAGATTTAGTGGTTGGAAACAAAAACCATCATCTGATGACAGCACAACTGTAAAAGCAACTAATTGGGATGATGAATGTACAGAAAGATTTGAAGTTGGTGAACGTTTTGACGATTATATTTTACCAACCACGGAAATCAAATTTGTTATTAGCCATATTGACACACCGAGTAAGACTACGCGAAAAATATCTTAAAACTATCGGATTAATTAGATTCTGTTCTTTCATTTTAGTTCAATTTTTTATTCAAATGTTAGAAAAATCCGAAGAAATAAGTCAACTAAGTGATGCATTACAAAAAGAATTTAAGGATGCACCATTGGTTAATGCCATGTCACTTAAAGCTGGACAAGTTTGTTTATCAAAACATACAGACAGTTGTTGGTATAGAGGTAAATATTTTAGTCATTTGTTCCCGTTTTTCTATGACCGCTATGTTATTCATAATTTTTTTGTTTTGTTTTCAGCTTTGGTATTATCAATAAATGGAAATAAAGCTCGTGTTAGATATATTGATTTTGGCAATTGTAACGATGTTGATACGAAAAGTATACGTCAATTAGCAAAAAAACGTACATCGCCCGCTCCATTTGCTTATCCATGTTTGCTGAAAGATACTCAAGGTAAATATATTTGGAGAAAAAAGTCATTCGTTTTACACATAAACTGATTTATAGTGAACTTAGTGTCAGATGAAAATATATCGAACAGTTTATGTGACTGTTATAGATACTTCACCCGCATAATTTTAAACTTGTATTACTCATTTTAGCTGAGAAAAATGTTGATCTCAATATCATTATCAGTAAAGTTGATGGTAAAGAATTTCCAGGAACAATTGAATCACGATTGAATGAAAATTTCATACTCGTCTGTGAAAATCTTACGAATCTGTTGGAAAATTTAAAATTAATCAAGTATGTACATCCTAGAATTTTTTTTTTCTAGAATATATATTTTATATAATATAAACATAAAATAATACATTGGAATAATCATCTAGAATAATAAATAGAAAATATATTATTAGGCGAAAAACATCTATGTATCATATTTAAATCGTCGTTTTTAATATTCTTTAGTGTTCTTTGTTTTGAAATATTCCACTGGAAAATTTTATCATACAGACGAAAGTTTGATAAGAAGAAAATTTTTTTATTTTGAAATGCATTTAGGCCAAGGGGGAAAAAGCGGACTCCTGGACTCCTATGAACTCCTATGGACTCCTGGACTCCCATGGACTCCTGAAGTCCAGGAGTCCAAGAGCAAAGTGTCCTTTTTTGGGAATCACTTCCCAAAAAAGAACAAAAGTGTCCAATTTTTGGGAAGTGATTCCCAAAAAAGAACACTTTGCTCTTGGACTCCTAGACTTCAGGAGTCCA